GGGGGGGAAGGAGATCCCCGGTAAGGAGGGGGCTCATTGTGGGGAGGGGGCCATCAGCGCTCTTGTGGGAAGTGGGGGGGGGGAGAAGGGGGCTCTGCGGTCCCAGGAGTGGGAAGTTAAGTGGGGAGGCTCCCTAAAGATGCCCCCCCGTCCATGGAGGAAGCCGGGGGGGGGCAACTGGAGGCCTGAGCCCCTCCAGCCCCAACAAAGGAAAAGGAATTTCAAAGGGGAGAAGACATTTCAAAGTGAAGGGAAAAAAAGCAGCGCCCGCCCGCCTCTCTTTTCCGGCCCCCCCTCCCCCCCGGAACAGCGCGCTTCCCCCTTAAAGATCTCCGGTTTGACGCGCCCGCCCGGCCCTTCCCCCTGCCCGGGCTCCCTCGCCGGGGCTGTGCGCATGCGCGAGCGGGGGAGGGTGGAGGAATGTTTTTCAGCCAGTTGGACAAAGTCCAGAAAAAAGTTGAGCAACCGGTTCTCCCGAACTGGTTCGAACTGGCTGGATCCCAGTACTCCTCCTCCTCCTCCCCCAACATCCTGAGCTCTTCTTGCAAAAAAAAAACAAAAAACCCGAAAAAAAACAACAACCGCCGCCTTCCTCGCATCTCTTGCAAAGGGGGTTCCTCTCTCTCGCTCTCTGCGTGGCCACCAGAGGGCGCCCTCTGCATATAAAAGAAAAGGCGGAACTGGCAGCCTGAGAGAAGTTTCAGGAAGAAACGGAGCATGCGCAGGCGCTTTTCCACCAGTTGGGTGCGGGGGTTTCAAACTTTGGGACCTGGGGGGATTGTTCCGAGGGGAGAAAAGCTGGGCTCTCTAGGACTTTGCCCCTCGCTCCCCTCCTGGGCTCCTTCTCCGCAACGTGCAGGGGAGCCTGGCAGGCAATGAGCGATGCCTGGTGAGTGCGGAGGGGGGGAATCTTCCAAGCGGGTGGCGCGGAAGCCTCCTGCTAGGACTTGCAAGGTGTTGCAAAGTCCTCATCCAAGTCTTTGCATTCCTAGCAAGGGGCGGGAGGGAACCATGGCTCCATGTTCCCCTGCCCTCCGTTCCAGCGGTGGTGGGGGGGGAGGGGGCGGATAGAGGTTCAGACCAGCCTCTCTTGCTCCCCCCTCCCTGGAAGAAACACAGCCTCATCCCCCAGGAAGGAGGAGGGGATCTTGGGGAGGGAAAGACTCTGAATGGGAGGGGGAGGGGGAAGGGTTGCATTGCAAAATGCAAGCAGAATTGGGGGGGTGGGGTGGAAAGCCCTCCATCTCCCCCTCCCCATTTCCTGAGAAAGCCCCTGAATGGGAGAGTGAGGGGGAAGGTTAATATTGCAAAATGCAAGCAGGAAGGGGGTGTGTGGAAAACCCTCCGTCTCCCCCTCCCCATTTCCTGAGAAAGCCCCTGAATGGGAGTGGGGGGGAGGGGAAGGCTCGCGTTGCAAAATAGCAAGCAGGATTCCTCCCTTTACCCAAAATGCTGGGTTGTAGTCAAAAGGGGGAGGGGAGAGCTACACAGGTATTTCTGGAGAAGGTGTGTACCAGGGAAATGCCCAGTGGCATTGTTGATGTTATCTAGTTGGGTAATGAAACCTCAGCAAGGCAACAGCCAAGCTAGGAAGACAGGACTCCACGTCCCATTAAGCTGGCAGTGTGGTTGGAGTATTGCATGTTTATACACACACACACACACACACACACACCCAATCCACCTCCCATTTTTAAACTGTGTCATGTGGGTACAAATATCTTATGCAATAAGAATTATAATTAATACAAATTCCTTACTCTAATGTCAATGACTACATTCTTACTTTTAACTATACAATGTATCTTATCATTATAACAATCCCTTTCTTAACTTATTTAACTATATTCATATGTTCAATTTTTAACTTCCATTTTTATTTTCCAACCATTGATAAAATAATTCCCATGTCATTTAATAATTCAGTTTGCTCTTTTTTTCTTTAATTGCCAGTGTTAAATCTGTTCATGTCTGCACCTTCTTAATATTTTCCTGATCACATTCTCTTCTGTCGGAATCTTTTCATTTTTCCAGTTTTGAGGAAATACGATTCTAGCTGCAGTTAATCCATGAATAATTAAATACACCTTTTCTTTACCATAACTTTCAGATATCATCCCCAACAGAAATGTTTCGGTTTTTAAATCTATAGGTGGCTTTATCATCTTTTCAGATTGGAACATTGAATGTGACTTTAGTCGTTGGTGTCTGTTAATCTGGTTTGGGCTTGTTGGGTGAACTGTGGCCTTGTTGGGTCTCTTGAAAGGGGTGTTTCCATCAGAAGGACTCAACCAGCCAGGGATTTCCAAACAAATCAACTTCACTCATCCCTCAGGGAGGATGAATATCAGACACTTAAAGGGGAAACTGCCTACAAATATTTAGTCTGAGATCCATTGTGTTGCTTCCTTGTTTGCAGAATGAAGAGTTCATTGCTTGGACAGAGCCTCGAATGAGATCAGTTTCCAGAAGAAGCAAAGAGAGAAGTTGAGTTGCCTGTGAGGGAGAAGCAATTCAAAGCCCTCCTAAATTTCTGCCTTCTATCTTCTGGGTTATTGATTGAATCCTGAAGATTTTCCTTCTACCTCTTCTATCCAGAGAGAACCACTTGCTTTCTCTGCTCTGGCCTAGGCCCACCCGGAAACGAAAAAGAGGTGTGAAACAGCTTGAAAATACAACATTGATCCTGGAATCTTGTTTTCTTTTCAGACTTGGAGGTTTGAAGTTGTTTGTGGGCCAAACTATCTCATAAGGAAGGAAGGCTAGATAGTGTACCAAGATTTTTATCCAGGGCTCTTAAATCCGGTGGAGATCCATTGGCCCCTTTCATATCCTCAGTCTTGGAGATCCAAGGCAGCTGTTGGCATCCTTTGCATCTGGATTAGAAAATAAAGGGGGGGAATGGAGGGACAACACCCGTTATATGCAGAAGCTGGACAAAGCTCTGTTTATACTCAGTTTGGGAGCTGTGAGGCAGTCAGGATAAAAACTGAAGAGATAGACCAAGAGGAAGAGTCTATCATAGCGGTCAGGATAAAAACTGAAGAGATAGACCCAGAGGAAGAGTCTATCATAGCGGTCAGGATAAAAACCGAAGAGATGGACGTAGAGGAAGAGCCTATCAGCTCAGAGGTCCAGCGTGAAAACTTCAGGAAAGCGTACTACCAGGGCCCCAGAGATACCTGCAGCCGTCTCCATCACCTTTGCAATCAGTGGTTGAAACCAGAAAGACATACAAAGGCCCAGATGCTGGACCTGGTGGTTCTGGAGCAGTTCCTGGCTGTCCTGCCCCCAGAGATGGAGAGCTGGGTGCGGGAGTGTGGACCAGAGACCAGCTCTCAGGCGGTGGCCCTGGCGGAAGGCTTCCTCCTGAGCCAGGCGGAGGAGCAGAAGGAGCAGCTCCAGCGGCAGGTGAGAAACCTTCATCTTCAGAGCTCAAAGGGGGTGGTCTTAATATTTTTTAAAATATTTACATTATGGGGTGTAATAGGTTTGTCAGACATACAATTCAGAGACTTGTAATTTGAATTTGAAAATGACAAAGGGTGTATCCTTACAATTTATATGGACTGTTTCCTAGTATGATTTGATTGCTTATTGTACCCTATTACTGTCATTAAGTGTTGTACCTTATGATTCTCAACTCTTGACGAATGTATCTTTTACGTATACTGAGAGCATTTGCACCAAGACAAATTCCTTGTGTGTCTAATCACACTTGGCCAATAAAAGAATTCTATTCTGTTCTCTTTTCTTTTCTATTCTATTCTATTTTCTATGATTTGATTACTTATTGTACCCTATGACTGTCATTAAGTGTCATACCTTATGATTCTCGACTCTTGACGAATGTATCTTTTATGTAGAGAGCATTTGCACCAAGACAAATTCCTTGTGTGTCTGTCTAATCACACTTGGTCAATAAAGAATTCTATTCTATTCTGTTCTCTTTTCTTTTCTATTTTCTATGATTTGATTGCTTATTGTACCCTATGACTCATTAAGTGTTGCACCTTATGATTCTCGACTCTTGACGAATGTATCTTTTATGTATACTGAGAGCATTTGCACCAAGACAAATTCCTTGTGTGTCTGTCTAATCACACTTGGCCAATAAAGAATTCTATTCTATTCTGTTCTCTTTTCTTTTCTATTCTATTTTCTATGATTTGATTGCTTATTGTACCCTATGACTATTATTAAGTATTGTACCTTATGATTTTTGACTTTTGATGGATGTATCTTTTATGTACACTGAGAGCATTTGCACCAAGACATTTCTGTGTCCAATCACTTGGCCAATAAAAGAATTCTATTCTATTTTCAAAGGGAAAAAAAACCAAAGCAGTTCGGTTGTCTTTTGAAAAAAGCATTTTTGAGACATGGATATATGTTGATGTTCAACTTTTTGGCATTATTAACACAAGGGCTTTTCTTCTGAAAGATGTCCAGTGGTGGCTTCCTGGAGACATATTTGAAACAATTGATCCTTTTGACATTTTCCCACCCCACGAACATAAGAACAAAGAATAATGATTCATTTATTTGGGTGGTCTCTTTATTTCCCCTTTTGTGTTCCTCGCCAGGTCCAAAGGCATCTCTCCACCATTCCTCAATGTCTGGATGGAAAGAGCAACCCCTTAAATCTTTCCCAGGAACAGCTTATTTGGAAGATATCCCAGGAAAGTCGACGTTTGGGCATCCCTCCAGGTAAGGAAAGGTGCTCCTAAAGCTGCATGAAGTTCTTTCAAAAAAGTCTAGCTCTCATTTGTCCTTTGAATCTTCTGTATAGCATCTCCCTCCCCCTTATTCCTTTAGTGGACTATCAATGGAGAACCAAGGGGAGCAAGTGGCCAGTTTTAAGTTTCTGAGTATTATCATAAATGAGGACCTGACCTGGGGTACTCACATTGCAGCCCTGGTCAAAAGGGCCAAGCAGAGATTATACTACCTGAGGCTTCTCAGGAAACAACAATTGCATGAAAAACTGCTGGTGACCTTCTACCGCTGCACCATAGAGAGTATCTTAACTTACTGCACCTGTGTATGGTTTGCCAATTGCACAGTGGCAGATAGGAAAGCAATCCAGAGGGTTGACGTCATTGCCCAGAAGATCATGGGTTGCCCTCTCCCCTCTTTGGAAGAGCTTTATAAGCTCCCGCTGCCTTAAAGTTCAAAACATTCTCAAAGATCCATCTCATCCTGGGCACCCTTTTTTTTGGAACTGTTACCATCTGGCAGACGGTACAGGATAATAAAAACAAGGACAAATAGGCTTCTATCCCAGGGCAGTAACTATTGAATTCTACTGTATAGTGCAATATTAATGCAATATCGGGTTTTCAGTTCAATTGCATAGAATGTGAAGGATGTGTGTTTGTGTTATTTTTATAGTGATAATGTACACTGAAGATGGCATTTAATTTCGTTGTTTGAGGTGCAGTGACAAAGTAAACTAACTAATTAATGAAATATGCGTTTAAAAATTCTTCCATCACTTTTGTCTCCTACACAGAGAATATCATGAAGTCACTGGTATTTATGGGTCTCTCCCCCTTTTCTGGTGAACCCAAAAAAGCACCCAAGCGTCCAGTTCAGGTAGGAAGAACATCATCTACAAAATTAAAGGGGACCATTTGCCGAGCTTCCATTTTGTTAGGGCGGCTAAGATTTTACACTAGTTTCCACCAGCAACACGAAATAGGACAATTTAGGTTGATAGGATTGACATAGGACACGCAGCTTAGCTGCCTTCTCAGAACTGTTGAGGTGCGATGCATAAAGTATTTACACTGAAAGATTCTTAAAGAAAACCTCTATAAAATGTTTTATAGATGGCATTTTTCACCCTCAAGGTTGGCAAAGATGTTTAAGGATATGTCTGCTAAATCAGTGGCCCCCAACCTTTTTTGTGCCGCGGCCTGGTACCGGCATCACAAAATGATCCGTGGCCCGGTACCGGCATCAGCACACATGACAAGGCAAGGCGAGCCGAGCGACCGGCCAGCCAGCCGTCCCCCACTTCTCCCCGCCACCTTCAACTCCTCCTTTGTACCTTTGTCGATGGGCTTCGCTTCGGGACAGTCGCTCGGCTTGCCTTGCCTTGGGTGCTGAAAGAATCCTCGCGCCTTAGTTTCGTTCGAAGCCGCCCCCTTCGATGAAACTAAGGCACGAGAATTCCTTCAGGACCCAAACACCGCTTTCCAACCGGAAAAGCTCACCCGGAAGCACTTTCTCGTCAAACAAGATGGCGGCGCCCAGCAAACCGGCGGCCCGGTAGGAAATGTTCCACGGACCGGTACCGGTCCTCAGCCCGGTGGTTGGGGACCCCTGTGCTAAATGATGGAAATGCCATTAGATACGTGGTTCGTATTATATGTGGTGGACATGCCTATAAACAGCAGCAAAAAATATTGGACAAAATACATACATGGCTGGAAAAAATGGTAAAGCAACATATTGATTTAAAACCAGAAATATTTTTGTTGGGCATTTTACCGGATAAGTATAACAAAGGGAATACATATTTGGTTTTACACGTATTGACTGCAGCCAGAATTGTATTTGCACAACAGATTTAAAAGATACTAGAATGTGCAGAAATGGATAAACACAATTAAAGAAAAGAAAGAATCTGAATAATTTTTGACTTGGGGTTTATTTTATCAACGGTTAGCTGGCAAAAAAGGTTAGAAACATGGAAATATAAGAAAAGGACCAATGAAAAAAAGAGAGGTTTGTTAAAATGGATAAGCAAGCATTATTATGGTTATTATAGAATTGATATCAATGTAATGAACATCGTTGTAAGCAGTTGGAGGATTATTTTTTAAAACTCTACCAAAAATGGAATTTGTATATGTTATAAAATAAAATAAAAAAACTTTATACAAAATAAAGTATTTACACTGAAAGATTCTTACTACCAGTAAGAAATCAACTTCATTCTTGCCCAGTTTTGAATCTGGCAAAAAAAGACACACACACACACACCCCTTTTTCACTGGGATAGGTCAACCAAGGAAAAGAACAGACATTTTTTCCTAGGCTCATCAGTTAATACTGAAACTTGCTTTTCTTCCTTTCTCAGGATTTTGTGACCTTTGAAGACGTCGCTGTGTATTTCTCCGCGGAGGAATGGTCTCAGCTGGATCCGGATCAAAAAGCCCTTCATAAAGAAGTCATGCTAGAAAACTACAGAAATGTGGCTTCTCTGGGTAAGATTCCCTGTTATTAGTTGAGACCCTAAGAAAAGGGATTCTTCCCGTCTTATGGAACTAACCAGTTCTTGTGAACGTATCTCCAATCAGAACTTATTTCTTGGATTGGACAAAGAGAAGACGCATTCTTCTCCTGTCCCTAAGGCAGTGATGGCGAACCTTTGTTGTGGTGTGCCAAAACTGCGCTCGTGTGTGTGTGTGTGCCAGCACCCACAATGCAATGAGCCACGCCCCCCCTGCACATGCGCGCGCAACCCCCCATCTGCACTGCGCATGTCTCCCAGCTTATTTTTGGCCCATTTGAGGCGTCCCAGAGGTTTGAAGGAAGCCTCTGCAGCCTTTGGAGGCCAAAAAACAACCAGTTTTCCGGTTTCAGCACATCCGGTATTTCCAGAAGGCCTGTTTTTCGGCCTCCGGAGGCTGCAGAGGCTTTCCTTGAGCCCCCAGGAGGGCGAAAAAGGCCTCAAACGGGCTGAAAATCAACTGAGAGGTGCGTATGCGCAGTGCAGGTAAGTTTGACTGTGCCATAGCTTTGCCATCACGGCCCTAGGACAAAAGTGGTCAAAAGCAACCTGGTTAGATGCTCCACATGATAATTTGCCATCTAATATTTGAGAGGGGGTCCTCCTTCATTGTTTTTTTTTTTTTTTTTTGGTTTCTCTTTAATTTTAAAATATGATTAATGACACTTATTCTCATATATCTGTCTCTTGTTGATGGCCAAGTCCCTGTTTGTATTGTTGTTGTTTTTTTAAAAAAGACTTTTCTCTTAGAGGCTCTTTTCTTGGACATTTTTACTCTGAAACACAGAATTCTGGCAGAAACAATGCTGTTGTTTTCTTGCAAACATTTCATTACCCAAACTAGATAACTGTCTAGCACTGATGATTGTAGTTAGCATCTTGAAACGTCTGCAAGAGAAACAATCAAGCTCAGAGAGCACCAAGGAGCCATGGTGGTGCAGTGGTTAGAATGCAGTATTGCAGGCTAATTCAGCTCACTGTCAGGAGTTCAATCCCCACATGCTCAAAGTTGACTCAGCCTTTTTCCATCCTTCTGAGGTCGGTAAAGTGAGGACCCAGATTGTTGGGGGCAATATGCAGACACTGGAAACTGCTTAGAGAGGGCAGTAACGCACTATGAAGTGGTTTATAAATCTTAAGTGCTATAGCTATTTGAACCCTGAGCTACAAATATTCTCCTTTATTGAAATGCCGCAGTTTGTGATTTAGCAGAGTCGGACAGTGAGGCGGTTGGGGAGGAACATGGGCCAGACCTGGAGGCTGAGGAAGGCTCGGACGAGGGCTCTGCATCAGAGGCAGAGATGGGACCATAGCAGTCTGGCAGTTATCAGCTGCCTTCGGAGTTGGACAGCAGTGAGACCGGGGAGTAACTGGAGCTGGTTCCCAGCCTGCGAATGCGCGGAGCTGCCAAAACAAAAAGAACAATTAGGAACTAAGGGTTTACGTGGGAGTAAAGCCACAGGTGGACGATGAATGGCCCCTCCCATAGGGATCAAAGGGGGGAGGGGCTTTTGCAGAAAACAATTTGTTCATTGCAGCTGTGGGAAGATCTGTCTGTGCATCTCAGAGACTGTGCCGAGTCCTTCCTTGTCAGCACTGTGTTTGAAAATATTTACTTGGCAGCTCTCCAAGCTAGATAAGGTCTGTGCTCCTAATTACACTCTTGAAAGACTGTTTGCCAGGCCTTTGGCTGAATGTGTATGCGAGAAATTCACCTCCTTTTAATAAAAGGGGTTTTGCTGGGACAAAGAGCCTGCTTAGTGCTTTTTGGGGACGCCTAGGTCAGGACAAAGGGATCACTGATTTTAGGCTTTTTAATCCATCCTCCTTCGTCTTTCTTTTTCCCAGGGATGGGTGGGGTGGGGTGGGGTGGTTTTGTGGTCAGTGGTGGTATTCAGTCTGTTCGCACCAATTCAGTAGAACCAGTAGCTAACTTTTTGTGCAGTTTGGCGAACCATCTGATCCTACCAATGGCTGGCTCCGCCCCATCCCTTCCAGCCACTCCTTTTCTGCCTTGGCCACTTGCCTAGTTTTTGGTAAGTCGCTCTGTCTCACATGTACTATAGTCCTCGACTTACAACCACAATCGAGTCCAAACTAAAATATTTTTCAATTTTTTTTTTGCAGTAGCCCGTCAAAGGTTGAAAAGGGAAAAGATTCTTTCAGCAAGAACCAGCGAGCAACCAAGATCGGAATCCGTTGTATCGGAATCGGCCTTGGATGATATAAAACAGTCACAAGGACAACCACTCCAAGCCCTTCACGGGATAAATATGGAACAGATTCCTTCAGTAAGAATCAGTGAGAAACCAAGATCGGAATCAGTTGTATCGGAATCGGCCTTGGATCATATAAAACAGTCACAAGGACAACCACTCCAAGCCGCCCTTCACAGGATAAAAATGGAACAGATTCCTTCTGTAAGAATCAGTGAGAAACCAAGATCGGAATCAATTGTATCAGAATCGGTCTTGGATCATATAAAACAGTCACAAGGACAACCACTCCAAGCCCTTTACAGGATGATAAAAGAACAGATTCCTTCAGTAAGAATCAATGAGAAACCAAGATCGGAATCAGTTGTATCAGAATTGGCCTTGGATAATGTAATACAGTCACAAGCACAACCACTTCAATGTGGAGAAAGCAGCAACTCAATTATTGATATAAATAATGATATCTTCAAAATTGAAAATAATATTCCTGAAATCTGGTCAGTGCAACAATATCGCAGTTTTAAAGGAAAATATGATGGATTGGACGTTTTTAACAAAAAGTTAGGTTGCAAGTATTGTGCAAAACATGACTCCATAAAAATGAAAAGTATTCATGTTTCAAATGCATGGAAATATTTTCAGATTGAGGCAGCAGGGAAAAATAGAGACGTTAAACAAGCTTCTCTAAGGAAAAAAATGAGAGAACATTTTTTATCGAAAGCTCATAACATTTGTAAAGCGAACATAAAACAATGCGAGGAGGATTTAATAGCAAAATTTAAAATGAATGAAAAACATTTACAAGCTACTTGCAGAGTATTTAATACAGTTTACAGCTTGGCACAAAGATGTAAACTATTTTCAGACATCGAAGATGAGATAGAAGTGCAAATTAAAAATGGGTTAGACATGGGAATAGGATTACACTCATGTAAAACTGCAGTGAACATAGTTGATTTCATTGCAAATGAAATTAAAAAACAATTGTTTACTAAAATCATTGAAAATAATCTGAAAATATGCTTGATTGTTGATGAAGTGGCAACGATATCTTGCAAACCAGTCATTATACTTTTCTTAAAAGTTGAGGATTCAATTACATCACCAACCATTTTCCTTGAGTTAGTTGAATTGGAAAAACAAGACGAAGAGACAATATGTTCTTCAGTTATGAAAAGTTTAAATAATGTTGGGTTTACTAAGAACTACCTAAAAAAAAATTTAATAGGATTTTGCTCCGATGGTGCCAGTCTTATGCTTGGGCGAAAATCTGGAGTGAGCACCATGATAGCAAAAGAGTTTCCAAACATAGTAATATGGCACTGTTTAAATCACCGCCTCCAACTAGTTTTGGATGATTCGATAAAGGAAATAACGCAAGTAAATCACTTTAAAATATTTATTGATAAGGTACGTACTATTTTTCATCAATCCAATAAGAACCAAATTGAACTTGCCAAAATATCAAGACAACTTGGAATTGAAATTATGAAGATTGGTAGTGTTTTAGGACCAAGATGGGCTGCCTGTAATTTACGGTCAACCCTAGCTGTGTGGCGTGCTTATCCGGCGCTACATCACTATTTTCATTCAAATAAAAAGTACTTGGGTATGGCGGCCCGTCTTGAAAATATACATTTTATAACTGATTTGGCATTGATGATTGATATTCTGAATGAAATTTCTTATCTTTCAAGTGCACTGCAAGCAAAAAATGTGGACATAATAAAGGCGGAGAAACTTTTGATGGGATCTATTAAAGCATTTCAAGTGCTTGGAAAGGAAAAGGGTCCATACGAAAAAAAAGTGGATGAATTAATTATTTCGGAAACCTTCAAAAATATCAAATTTGTAAAAAATGATCGATTCATTGGGCTTCCTCGGGAAAGACTTTTAAAACACATCATAATGAATTTGAGGAAAAAATTAATGGATTGTGAACATTTGAAAACAGACTGCAGCCGATTTCAAGACAGGAATAAATTACAATTTTTCAAATTTTTGGAGCCAGATTACTGGAATATTGAAGAAATAGCAGTTCCATGGAAAGCAGGTGAAGAAGAATTGCTCATATTTAATGACATTTTTAATTACCAAATTGATATTAATGATTATCGCGATTTTGTGGAAAATGTTTTAGAAAATTCCCAGAAATATGCAATTCCTCAAAGTATTCAAAGAGCGAAAAATATTATCAGAACAATTCCTGTCAGTTCAGCAGAAGCAGAAACTGTTTTTTCAAACATGAACATCATATGTTCACAGAATACAAGTCACCTAACTGTTTCTAATATATCAAACATAATGACTATTAGTCTAATTGGTCTACCTCTCAAAGAATGGGATCCTACCCTTACAGCGGAAAGATGGTTAAAGGTAAATCAGACAGCCGATGAAATGATGATAATTGCAAGTGAGGACACCAATCGAAAAGCAATATGGAAATATCTGACATAACAGTTTTATTGGTTTTTGCCAGGTATTATGTAATAGTTCCTTACTATTTTGAAACTTTCTTATAACAAAATCTAATTTTGTGTACCTCTTTTATTGTTCTTATTTAAGTGTCGTGAAGTGAACATCCGCTAAGGCTGTTTTGGAGGCTTCAGGATTGACACACGAGAGGGAGAAATAGATGGGGTTTTGTAGCCAAAATAATAAAAGTTTTGCTATGGGAACCAAGGACATTCTCACAGGTGGCTGGCCAGAGGATGAGGGAAGTAACCAAGCAACCAGCCAGGTCCTGGATTGGGCAATG